TTACCTTCTGAAAAGTGTACATACTGAAATGACCTGCAATTAGCTAACTTAACCTACAAGTTTAACTTCTGAAAAGTGTACATACTGAAATGACCTGCAATTAGCAGACCTAACCCACAATTTTATCTTCTGAAAAGTGTACATACTGAAATGACCCCTAACCCACAATTTTACCTTCTGAAAAGTGTACATACTGAAATGACCTGCAATTAACAGGATTGTCCTGCATTTTGACAATTTATGACCCTGATTTCAGGTATGTCTAGCCTTGTACCTTTGTTACTGATGTTCATTGTAGTTTTAGATGTCATTAACTGTAAGATAATGTTGTAAACATTTATACATGTAATAGGACTGGATCAACATGGCGCGTGATCTGCTGAGAACTGAAAAGAAAGACTACACCGACAGCTTACCCAGGGTAAGTGACCTGTAAACACTTCCAAGGTGTGGTTATCTATGTACCGCCAAATCTTAATCCCTCTTTTCACAGACATTGCAAGTGTACTAAGATGTCATTGTTCTGTTTTACTGTTGTACACCTCACTATATATAGTTTAGTATCCCCTGCTCAACGAGTTGGCGGGGGGTATAGAAATGGGGTCCGTCCATCAACCTGGTTAAGAGGATTTGCTCTCCCCTATATCTTGCCTGCGTCAAGTGCTATGTTGATTATACTTACATCAATTGTGTATCTAGGGTTGCTCTATAGGGAATGCATATTGCGGATGCTGATTTTGACCTATATTTTACGCTTCATGTCTTGTATGACTTTTGCACTGCAAGCGGAGGATATCAATGACAGCGGCTTGTTGTTGTGCATCACTATTTTTGTACTTTAGTTTAGGTATCTTTTGAAAATTGTACATTATTCTGATGAAACTGGACTGAGACATGTAAACTGGATTAAGTTGGCGGAGAATCCCCACTTGATGTTGTCTGGTCATCTCTTCTATGAATTTCTATTACACTTATGGCCGGATTAGTGAACTCCATTGAGGAATCCATTAACTGTGATACACAGAACTTTACTGAACATTCACTAGCAGACATTGAATCTCATTTTCTTTTGTATATGTATATTCCGTCTTTGCGTATTGCAGAGTTATCTTCTCTTGTGAGCAGGTATTGATTGTTCCGTCATTGGTTTGTGTGAGAAAATTACCTGCTCACAAGAGAAGATAACTCTGCAATACGCAAAGATGGAATAAGTGTTGTCTTAGATTACTATTAAGACAAAAGATTCAGAAACATAGTTCCCAGACAGCATCAGTATAGCTATTGTAATGTCCATGGTCTGTCCTTATCCAAGTAGATGCTCTTGTATTGAGGAATATATTTCCTTTATTGTTCAAATAAGAGTCATATAATTTCTAAAATTGGAATGGGAAGAAAAGAACAAGGTACAGTAATCCAAGATATGGCTTTTAGCTCAAGGACTTCTAAACAATCCAGAATATAATGATGAACATCTTATGCATTTAACTTAGATTTTTTGGAACTTATTATAATTAGCAAACTTAATTCTTTGGTGTGTTGACATAATGTAATCGGTGCGATATCCTAAAGGACGTTGCTGAACACTGACCAGAACATTCCTTGCTGTGTGATTTCCTCCTGACTTAGAAGCTGGAGCACATCCTGCAATGCTAGACAGAAAACATACAGGAAATGATTTCTGAGGATTTAATGACAAAAAGGATCTCATATTTATACCCTTATGATAAGATATTTGTGAAAGTCACGAAGAATGTTTTAATTTTGATCAGCAGAGGAAGCAAATATTAAAAAATCCCAACTTATTTCATTTATGTCATATCAAATGGAAACTCAAATGTGATAAGATTATACTTATCTGAAGTTAAATGTATCTGTTCCTTTGTTACACAAGAAAAACCTTGTAGGTGTATCTAATAAATAAATCTGATATTCTATGTAGGTAACACACCAGGGGACCAAGTTTATAATATTTAACAGTAGATCTTGCATTCCATATAAACAGTCAATCTGATATTCTAGGACAGTTCTTGTAAGAAAAAAACTGTTTCAGTCAAAAGTTAATCGGGTGTGCCTGACTTCTAGCCCTGATTTCTATATTAGTTTCCCAGATTTCTCCAAAGATCATGTTTTTATTCTGACATTTTTATTGAAGGTCCTGAACAGATACATTGTACACTGTATATGTAAAGAATACTTTTAGAAATAACAATTTCAGGAGTGATAGATTAATGTAAATCAAAACAAAACAAAATATATGGATTACTTTAAAAACGTGAATTCGATTTATTTCAGGCTATGTGTATCATAATTAGAAATATTTGGTTCAAGAATGGTACAGTGAAATAAAAAAAAAAATTGACCCCCTCAATGAAGGCGGGAGAGGTATATTGGGATCAGGTTGTCTGTCTGTCTGTTTTTAGACAGAATCTTGTCCATATGACTCCTGCAATAATTTTCATTCAGTTTTCGTGAAGTTATTGTTAATCATTTACCAGTCAGAATCAGTACACCTGCACTTACTTTCTGGATACAACTATGCGAGTTATGCCCCTTTAACAAAGTGAATAGCCAAAGTCTTGTCTACTTCACATCTACAATGTGAATCCACCTTTCTTCACATATGTAATCACTGTACTGAAAAATTGGGCATATATATGCTTATTTCATTAAGCCAGTCATATTTTTGGGAGTTATCACTCATCGCATATTTCTGTTTCGTGATTTTTTTACAAAGTTCTATTCACCTTTTTGGCCCATTTGTATGAAACTTGCTTGACACATTTTATAAAAGAAGATTGTTGATTGGTTGAAATTTTCTTGTTTTTGTTTTTGTTTTCAATATTTTTAATGTAGTTAAATGGTAAACCACCAGTTTTGATTTCATGTGGCAGCGGGGTAATACATAGCCTGTGACTATCAGTTCTATTTTCTTCTTCCTGTTCTTTCTTTTCCTTTTATTTTCTCCCTAGCTAGCATACTGGTTTCAAATGAACTTTGATGGTTGCAAGGTTATTTTTATTTTTATTTTTTTTAAAGAAATGATATATTCTAAAACAACTAAATAATTTTAATTTTTCAGGCTATGTCTATTATAAGCAGTTTTGATAATCACCCAAAGCCCGCTGAAAGGACACCTGACTACAGCGCCATCTATCAATATTTAGCCCTTGTCCTTGAAGGGAAAGAACTCCCCCTCCTGGGGCCACTAGGTAAGTATTACTGTTTGATTCAGTTTGAACAGCTGATCTCTGTTTCCTTCATCTCCTTGTTTTCATTATGATATCTAAGGTATTTATGTGAAGGATCTTTTTTCAGAGAGTGTGGTCTTACTTATGAGTAATTATATTGTTTTGTTTTTATAGTCCTGTTTCTGAACTCGGGTTATAATAAAAAGTGGGATTAACTGTATTTTCGTTCCTTTAATTTTACAGCAGTTATTGCCCCTTTTTCAGCTTTTTACAGCATTTAATGTTTACTGTTTAGCTTCAAAACCAGTCAGGGCCACGGTGGCCAAGTGGTTAAGGCGTCTGACATTCTGCTACCAATTGCCCTCCATCACTGGGTCGCAGGTTAAAGACCTACGTGGGGCAGTCGCCAGGTACTGGCCTTCGGTCAGTGGTTTATCTCGGGGAACTCTGGCTTTCCTCCACCATCAAAACCTGGCACATCCTTAAATGACCATGGCCCACTTGTATAAAACATCTCAAAGTTAAGGAAAATCTCAAGCAATGTATTGTCTATGGGAAATCTCAAGAGTTGAGATGTTTTATACAAGTGGGCCCATAGCTGTTAATAGGACGTAAAACACAAACAAACCAAATCAAAACCAGTCATACTTTGTCTATTTAATTCTTTTCAACATTTTTATTGATACAATCATTTATAACCCTGACAACTGTCACAGCATGTATCATTGGCTACATCTTTACCCATCTTGTGTTTGTTACAGAGAGTGCAGTCATGCTCGACTTACTTTACGGTGTGGCTGATAAGATTGCAATGTCGGACACAACGAGACAGCGGCAGGTGATGAGATGGAAGTACAAGCTTCTATCCAGCAAGGTCGACACGCAAAACAACCAGCTGTTCATCAGACAGGCTCGCAAGGCTTTATCTAATGGTATACAACTAAAACAGTCCCCATCTCTCTTTGTTAATAAACAACCTATACAGTTTATATACCAGCTGTTCATCAGACAGGCTCGCAAGGCTTTATCTAATGGTATACAACTAAAACAGTCCCCCCTCTCTCTGTGTTAATAAACAACCTATATAGTTTATATACCAGCTGTTCATCAGACAGGCTCGCAAGGCTTTATCTAATGGTATACAACCAAACAGTCCCCATCTCTCTGTGTTAATAAACAACCTATATAGTTTATATACCAGCTGTTCATCAGACAGGCTCGCAAGGCTTTATCTAATGGTATACAACCAAACAGTCCCCCTCTCTCTGTGTTAATAAACAACCTATATAGTTTATATACCAGCTGTTCATTAGACAGGCTCGCAAGGCTTTATCTAATGGTATACAACCAAACAGTCCTCATCTCTCTGTGTTAATAAACAACCTATATAGTTTATATACTTTGTCTGTACAGGTGTTTGAATTAGGAAAGTGCAATAAGCTTCCGAGCAATGACAATATACTAAACACAGGTGTAAATTACCTTTTTTTCCTTCTTATTGTTGACTCACAAAGGTTAGACTCGCCCATTACCATAGCATCAGAGTGGTTTGAAACAGTTGACTTACCTTATTTTACTCAGTGACATCGGAATTTCTATCTGTCCAACCAAATGTAAATGATCACTCCAGCACTGATAGTCAGGTTGTTTTCAAAATTCACTAGTGTTAATCATCATTGAAGATTTTTTGATTTTTTTTGGTGGACAGGTAGTTAAAGTTTACCCTTTCACCACTGTGGACCATAATGGACTCATCTAGATAAATGTATGGTAGAGTCTACTAAAGTTACCTAGGGATGAAAGGTTTAAGGTCACTGTTTAAATGACTCATCAGATTTCTTATAACATGATTTCTCTATGTATTGCTTGTCAACTTGTGCATCCAACATGGTCCCTGCTGACTTATGTTTCAGTTATTTTAAGTGATATTCGGGCTGTTTAGGTCAATTTAATTTTAATTACAGTTTTTACTCTGTTATATTTTCACTTTTAGATTTTGAAGAATTTGAAAATGCATCAAATGCGACTGTGGCATCAGGCAGCAGTACACAGACCAGTCAAACGCCGTCTTCTAGTCAGCAGAGGTCTACTGTTCAAACAGGTACACCGTCTTCTAGTCAGCAGAGGTCTACTGGTCAAACAGGTACACCGTCTTCTAAACAGCAGAGGTCTACCGTCCCAGCCGACACAAATACCGCAACAATGTCAGGTTCTGCTCCTGGTCAGAGTACAACTTCTACAGCTATTTCCAGAAGCACTCGGGTAGCAAATGAAACTACAGTAATATCACACAACTCGGACAAATCAGCCAACCCTGTACCCACAGCTAAAAAGCAACTGGGTCCACCAAAAAAGCGACATAAAAATAGTGAAGTCGAATTTAGCATTAGACGAGAAACTGATATTATTGTTAGCAAAAATCTGTTGATCAGCGACAATGAGACTGCTGAAGGAGTGGGTAATAACAGCCTAAAGGTGAAGGAAAAGGGGAGAATCCAGGAGGGCGTACGAGCTGGACGTCATAAAGCTGGTGCGGACAGTGATAGCATACAGGTGCTAGGTGATGAAGACGAGAGTCCTCCAGTTAAACGTCGGAGAGATGATGCTGATGAAATTGAATCACATCCCATGCCAGATTCATATGTTGTTCGCAAAGACAATGAAAAGACAAATTCTAGAGGTGAGATTTTGGATTCCGAACAATTAAACAAACAGACAGACTCAGAACAGATGTTGTCCCAAAATGTTGGACAAAGGGCAACAGTATCAACAGATGAGAGCAGACCATTGGAATCAACACAAAACCAAACACAAAGTCCACCCTCCGTCAAAAAAAAGAAAGCAGTTGGTCGACCGCGTAAGAGTGTTTATAAGAAAAAGGAAGATCCTGTCAGAGCCGATTCCGTTGTGCCTAACCAAGTGTTTTGGAGGGGACCAGGAAGGCCTGCAGGGGCAAAGAAAATTATTCCAGAAAGACCTGAAAAAGTTCTTGAGGATCCGTCAGAGATCCCGAAGAAACCTTCTCTTTATACTCTGAATCCTCTGTGTGTTCCAGTTAGCCTCTTGTCTCTTCGTAATAAACCTGGTTGTACGTCAGCCCAACCAGTGGTGAGGAAGAAATCATTCCCTGCTATCATCAGCAAAAAACATAGTCCATTGTTCAACAGTCAGAAAAATGAAGGAATAACATCTGTTAGTATACACCGAATGGCAGCGGTCATTCCAGTTTCTAAACAGCATATTCTCCTTCCGAATTCCGCTACACAGAAATCTCAGTCCTAGACCTCTCTGCGATGTGGATAGTAAATGTCCTGCTGCTTCATAGTGTACTGTGATTTTTTTTATTTCCATGTGGTTAAATTCTGTGGTGTTAAACACAGTGCATTTTTCATGGGGACATGACTAGGTGAAAGTTGTTAAACGATTTCATTCTTCAAATAAACATACTTTGTCAAAGAATTGCAAACAGGTTTTATTTACTTCTTATTGATTTTCTATATAAAATGTAACTCAGATATTAAAAAGGTGAATTATATGAAAATGAAATAAGTTACCTCCCTTTAAATGTTTTGTCAGTTTTGAATACAAAAACAGCCTGCATTTATCTCATATTGTACAGTTTTGCCCGGTTGTTCATTTGCTGAAGTATTTTCCTATTTCTGGTATAATTTAGGAAATTCCTCAAAGCTATCCTAAACTTAGCTGTGCATAAATGAGAAATTCTGAATAGCTTACCTCTTTTTTCCCAAAGTAACTTCTTAAATAACTGTAGTTTCAGTAAGTTATTATTTCATTTCTTAGAGCAATCACCCTGTTATGAAATGATATGTTCGTTACATATAAAACATAACTTGGAAAGTCTTAAAGTAGTTATAGAACAGGAATTTTGTCTTTATCTGGACTGTGTTGTCGATTCAATAAAAAAATCTTTTCCAAATTTCTGTATATGTTTGGATAAAACAGTTGATTTTTAGCTCACCTGGTCCGAAGGACCATGGTAGAGCTTACGCCGTACCACAGCGTCTGTCGTCCATCCCTCAACTTTTCCTTTAAAACGCTACTTGTCCTAAAACGGCCAAGTCGATTTCGACTAAATTTGGTCTGGAGCATTCTTAGGCCAAGGGGACTCGGTTTTGTTTAAACAATTGATGTGACCCTCCAGGGCCCTATAGGGGAAATAGAGGTAAAGCTTTAAAATCCTTCTTCTACCGTAGGAATTCAGAGATTTCATCCTAATTTGGTCATTAGGAATGACAAGATTTTGTTCAAATTTGGTATGAAGCATCCTTGAGTGAAGGGGAACCAAGTTTGTATAAACTGTGTCTGACCCCCTGGGGACAGATAGGCGGCCAAATAAAGAATATAGAGGAATAGCTTAAATATCATTTTTTCTTTCGTTAAGATGAAGGTATTTTGGCCAAATTTGAATAGTAGCATCCTATGGGGAAGGGAAATCAGTTTTGTACAATTGGTGGGTCTATTCCCCCTGCGGCCAGAGACGTGGGCCCCAATAGGGTAATTAAGCAAATTCTTGAAATTTCTTCTTCTTCTGTAGGAATAACCAGATTTTGTCCATATTTGGTCTAAAGCATCCTTTGGTGAAGGGGACTCAATTTGTTATTACAATACTGAGACTACCTCTGATGAAAATATGAGTGAAAATCGGCCAATGTTATTTGTCCAAGAATATCTGTACAGGTGAAAGTGAGTGAACCTCACAACAGTTTGGTAGGTAAAACCACTGCAGCAACCGTAAGGGAGAGCAACCCAACTCGGCAAACGATTTACTTATGATAACAAGATAAAATGTTACACAGCAGACATGTAAACACTATCTTTGATGAACGTTAAATCATTGAACAACAACCTTCAATTGGAATTCATTGATGATAAGAATGTCGATGGAAATTACAAATTCTAGCGATACTAGATCATGTCGAGTTTGTCATTTCCATATAACATATTGAATAGATCGTTTTTACCGTTTGAACAATATTTTTATCTTTGAGAGAATTAAGTTCTATTTTTTTTTTTATTTGCGTTAAACAAGTCTTCATGATACACTTATTTAAAATAAATACAAAACATTAATAACATCATCAATTTCCTACAACCTCGGTTAGACGTAACATGCATGAAGGGCAACAACCTTTGATCAACATACCTAGCGGTCAAACATCCGATGGATATCCATAAAAAGCTAAATTGTTTGATAGACATGTCTTGGCTCGGAGAAATTCAATTCGGTTTATTCCAAAAGCAGCACAGCTTATATGAGTCATAACATACATGTTTAAAATATAGTGAATTAATTGTATGCAGGATGACAGAGGCTGAACAATGTGAAACAGTTTCGCTCCGTGGCATAAATCGTGCAATTAATAAATGTACTATTCCGTCCTTGCGTATTGCAGAGTTATCTTCTCTTATGAGCAGGTATTGATTGTTACGTCACTTGTTTGTGAGAGAAACGTCATCATGTTTTGAGAAAACAACGTAATTTTCTCACACAGACCAATGACGTAACAATCAATACCTGAGAAGATAAGAGAAGATAATTCTGCAATACGCAAAGACGGAATACAAGATAACACAATAATATTACTAGCTGCAGTCACGCCTGGCAGTGGCAATACACCAAAAAAGTCCAGGATTATTAGGTTGTTTTAATGTAACGCTCATTCAGAATAGTGTAAGACTAGTAAACCGGAGGCCCCGGGTTCGACCTCTACTGGAGCTATTGAAAAACATAATTACCTCTGCTACAGACCTTGGTAGGACTTACAAGTGTAGTTTCAATAGTTAAATAAATAGTTACACCATTTGTTGTAATGTAGTTACATTTGATTAACGGTCACATTTAGTTAAAACTTTGATGACAAGTTTAAGTGACATGCTGCTGATACTTCAAAATACTCAAAACCCGAGATATTTTGAATACAGAACAGTTTTGTGAAATATTTAATTTTTTTAACTTCAAAGGTGTTACACCTTCTTATTGTAACACAAATTTACAGTTATTTGTTCCTTTACCCTTTCACCACTGTAGACCATAATGGACTCATCCATATCAATGCATATCAATGTCTACTAAAGTTACTCAGGGGTGAAAGGGTTAAGAAGATTTTTATACCAATTTACTGTCGTAATAGTTATATTAAAATAGAAAATTTCAAGAGGGGTCAATTGTACACAAAATTATTAAGTTTAAAGTATAATGCACCTTCTTAAGCTCGACTTTGGACTTCGTTTATCTGTAATTATATATATCACAGGCCAATACGGTGTATGTTGATAACATAAGATGTTTGTATTTAAAGTCTTTATCTGGAGTATTGTTTTGATACTGGGGGTATTGTTATACTGGAACAATACGTTAATGTTATAGAGAATTAGTGTGGTCAAGGGCTGTTGTAATTCCCAGACAATTACGTCAAAGTTCATGAATATGTGCTAGCAAATGAGATATATTTTATTCTAAGAGGGTTTATTTGTGTGTCTTTGTTTTATGCTTTAAAAAATACAATCCTGAATGCATTTTGTTTTCATATTACTGTTTCTTTTAATGAACTTAAATGTATTTTGATAACATGTTTGAAAGTTTTTCTGAATATATACATTCAATGTAAAATTATCAGAACTCGGATATTCCAGTTCCATGAGATAAAACAGTTTCAAATGGTGGTATTTTCCAATTTTGACCTTGATTTTTGGCGGTATGGGGTTTTTCCCATTGTAATTAATGTGAATCCAAAATTGAGGTAAAATGGGTGAGCTTGTTATAAGGGTTTGGTTTGGTTTGTTTGGGTTTTGCGTCCTATTAACAGCTATGGTCATTTAAGGACGTGCCAGGTTTTGGTGGTGGAGGAAAGCCGGATTTCCCGGAGAAAAACCACCGACCTAGTAATACATTTTGTTAAAAAAAATGAACACAACCGAAATAAGGAAACAGAGTACAAAAAAAATAAAAAAAATGACAGGGTCCATATTATCACTGGACCAAACAAAGAGTGACAGGTATACATTGTATCTGAATATTAGAAGTAGGAAACAGAAAACATTTCCACAATATATTACCTTAGACAAAGTTGGCAATTCGTAGCATGTGATATAACATTTTCAAATTTTATTAAAAAAATGTCATCATACAATGTTAGTATTTTCCAGTAAAGCACCTACAAATAGATATCTGATAGGTTCTGTTCAGTAAAAGGGTCTATAATAAAAGATAAATCCCCACTTCTTTGGCAACATTTAACTTTTTAAAAGATGCATATTGTTTTGATATTTTCCTGTTTTCCGTCAATATCAAGTGACAAAAAAAATCCACAGATACGCTTGGCCTATTTTTAGGGGTTTCAATCAGCTTAAATTATTCCTACAACCTTCACAGTTGCGCTTTTCTTGTAGCACACCTATCTAACATAATCTATTGCACGCGTCAAGGCATGATAGAAAAACACTCTGAAAAATGCAGTATGCCAACAAAGAAATGAGACTGTTATAAAGTTCTCTCATCGCTCATTGACCTCATTGGCGATGATAGAGATGAAAAGCTGGAAATCAAAATTAGTCTAAACTACTTTTAAAACAAAAACAAAACCATTGCTTTATACCGGGAAACATTTGCCCAGTCAAACTTTGGCCCTTCGCCCGTGAAATCAAGTTTCGCCCGGTAGTAATTTTAACCCTTCACAATAAATTCCTATATCTAGTATGCTGTTATATTCGCTGTAATGATAAATACGCCTTCATTACGGAGGGCGTAAGAGAAAAAAATGTATAGAGTATAGGATCGCCATACAGTAGTGTAGTACTGGTTAATACATGTTGATATAAAAGTAAACCCCTATCTTATACCTCATAAGGCAACCATGTTTCTCTGGTTACTAGTGTCTTACATTCCGTCAGAATGGGATTTTAATGCTTATCATTATCATTAAAATGTTTCATAATGTTATACTATTTATAGGCCTATACCATATACATGATTCTCTGTAAATCGGCGGTAACCAGTAATAAAAACAAATAGTTATTTTACAACCATCCTTATTTCTTATTTATTCTCGTCAAAGTTTTAGATGAATCTCACTGAATTGAATTGGGGATTTGCGTTAGAGACTATAATATTCAATTTAGAACATTTGTCGAGATTCCCGAGTATTTTGAGATATACGTAGTATAATGTTCGAGTTAAGGTGCATATTTGTAAACTCGTACCATTCCGTTTTCGAAACCTGTCCAAAGATCTCCATTCCCTTGTATGCGAATAGCAGATGGCGCCAGTGTAGTGACAAGTAGATTACGACACATACGACCGTGAGAGTCGAGCAACATAACCGACATACTGGCTCGGTCAGATATTAAAATGTTTTGTCCAGAATCAAAACAGACATCTGATGGATGAAATGGTGTTTTACCTTTGAAGTTTAACTTGAATTTCATATCCGCGTCCAAAATCACCACGGAGTGGTGTCCCTTGTTGTCTAGATTGACGACAGCGATCTCGCGCGATTCATCACATCCTCGAACTTTATTGGGAGTGGAGAATAAGAGATTTCCATCATTGTCACGAACTGCGCGATCTAGAACTTCCCCTTTCGGGCTATAGCGGACAAGCTTCCCTCTCATTCGGAAGACTCCTTCCACTAAACCAATGACGATATCCCCGTCATTGAACACGTACAAACTGTAGGCCGTGGCGTTTACTCCGATGAAAAATCGGTCTTCTCTGACGTCATGTGGCATTAGCTGCGTCATTATTCCGTCACGACGCGCAACCCAAACGCTATCGTCTGCTCCCAGGCAGATGTCCATGATCTGGTTCATGGAGTAGGTGTACACCTTGATGCTCCGTACACAGTCCCCCTCTTTGTTTGTGAGGTACAACTCTTTGTTGCCGTCACAGGTAATCCACGCTTGTTCGCCAACAATACATATGGACCTGACTTCGCTTGGTATGTGTTCAAACTCGCTTATGGGCACCGATCGCTGCATGGTACCGAACAGGCGGTTCAGCTTCACCATGTCGACATCCGTAGGTGTAAACCACACCGCTGCCACCACTGGGACGCATGTCTTTGACTGGGGTTTAGAAAGTACGGAAATGACGTCTTCATGTAGCAATATGTCTTGTAATTTACAGGAAGAGATTATATTCTTTACCTTAGAAATGGAATCAAGTAATTCAGCATGATCTTTTGAGATGTTGTCTTCGAATGTTTTCAAAATGTCGTCCTTCCGTTTTTGAAACACAGCACATTCTTCTACAAGCTTTTCACAAATTGTATCAACGCTTCTCTTCAGTTCTTGTGCCTGTTTCCGAATGTTTCGGGAGACGTCGTCACAGTGCGTAGAAAGCAAGACACGTTTTCTCCTCACCTGGTTGAGATGGACTTCTAATTTTGGAATAGCAAGTACCTCCGCGTCTCTCAGTAGACAGGATATATTTTGTTTCCGACGTTCGGCAACCTCTTCCAAATTGCAAAGAGTGTGTCCAAAACATGAGGAGTTCATACACTGAATACAAACGAGTCTGTCGTCACACGTTTCACACGCGGCGATTACACAATAGTCGTCATGGAGACTACATTGAATTTTTGGATTACCGTCACTTACTTCCTTTGGATCAGGCGGGGGCCACATCATAGCGAAATTAAGTTTGTTTTCGTAAAATATGCATATGTATTAACTATAAAGATTTGTAGAGGTATGTAGATTTATATGAAACAAAATACTCACAATTCGTATAGTGTTCCTATTTTCTGTTTTCACACTTGGAATGTTTTTGCACCGTATCAAACAAAACTATCAAGTGTGAAGGTAATACCAGTGTAACATGCTTACATGTCCAGGTGTTTGATACGGTAAAAGGTAATCATCGATCTCCGTGATCTACTATATCACTAGGGATGTCAGTCCAATACGGCCAGCGTAGCTCTGGTCATTACCGAATCTCGACAACAAACGTGATACAGGGAGGGGTAGTGTGAGAAATCGCTCACCTTACAATGGCCTGTGGTGTCTGTTCCTGCTCCAGTCAGGATAGTCTGTATATAATGTAATGTTCGTATATTTAACCTGTAACACCATCCTTTACTGCTGAGATCACTCCGTACTGATAGGACCCTACCTACGATATATGTAGTACGTAGAATACCAACATCACATCATATCCAGCTGTTGATAAGCTTATCGGCTGACAGGTAAATAAGTACATGATGAAATGATAATGTACTTCGGAGCGTCACCAATTGTTTTGGTTATCTCCTTAATTCGTACAGGAAGGATAAATCTCAAATAATACAATTGTTATTTACATGTTTATTACAGTCAGATCCAATCTCATGGAGACCTCCTAAGACAATTTTTTCAAAATATCCGCAATTCTTTATTCTATCAGAAACTTCAAACTTTAGTTCTGCCAAAAATGAGTCATTATCTCTGATTTCTGTCCGATATAAAATCACTTATATATATATCGAGATAATTGCTTATGACATGGAGGCCCCAAGTCTTAATCAACGTCAACATCTACACTGAAACCAACGAAAATCATTTCCGGTCGCAATTGTTCTTTTGGATTTGCTTTTTGGTTTACTTTTGTTTAACGTCCTATTAACAGCTAATGTCATTTAAAGACGTGCCTCCATGTGTGTAGTGTATGCGTGCTTGCGTGTGTGTATGCAGGAGACAGGGTATGTTGGAGTGCTTGCCTCCTTGTGATAGCGCATTGGTTGGTTGGTTGGTTGATGGGTTTATAGACTACTTTTCACGGGCGAAGCCCGTGTTCTGTCGTCTTGAGGGGGTAAGACTCCAGCTTACCGGGCCCTCGGTGATTCGAAATAACCTTGCTCGTCCAGGTCACGCCCTAAGGTCGGTCAGCTCCTTAGATGCGGATAGGCTGTCGCAGTTACATACAGCACGTATACGGGAACACGTAAAACACGTCCTTTAAACAGTTTCACTGGTGATATATGGTGATAGCGCAGATCTGATGCCGACTTTATAGTGTACCCAGCACAGCATTCCGCCTAGTCACTAGTAGTACAAAAGTACCGTTTCTGGCACAGGGTCATTGAGTGCAGTGTCCTATATAATCCTTACCACCACCCTGCACCAAAAACAAGTTGTACACTTTCTAAACATTCCTCACTCTTTAACCTGACGGAAAATGACACGTAGATTCTACACTTTCTAAGCATTCCTCACTCTTTAACCTGACTGACAATGACACGTAGATTGTACACTTTCTAAACATTCCTGACTCTTTAACCTGACGGAAAATGACATGTAGATTGTACACTTTCTAAACGTTCCTCACTATTTAACCTGACGGAAAATGACATGTAGATTGTACACTTTATAAACATTCCTCACTCTTTAACCTGTCGGAAAATGACATGTAGATTGTACACTTTTAAACATTCCTCACTCTTTAATCTGACGGAAAATGACACGTAGATTGTACACTTTGTAAACATTCCTCACTCTTTAACCTAACGGAAAATGATATGTAGATTGTACACGTTTTAAACGTTCCTCACTATTTAACCTGACGGAAAATGACCCATAGATTGTACACTTTTTAAACATTCCTCACTCTTTTACCTGTCGGAAAATGACACGTAGATTGTTGTGACACCATAAGAGATTAAGGCAATACCAGGTCCTGCTGTATATAAAGATTCCTTTTTAATGCAGTACTGTGCAAGACGATATGTACAAAACAAGAGACTAGGCGCCCAACTAAATAAACCAAAGTACGTGAATCACACGGTGGTGTGCTTCGTTAGGTGGTGTGCTTCGTTAGCTGTCCAGGCCCGCTCTCACCGAACATGTCCAATCCAACTCTATTTATCCTCTCAGGCCGACCTGCTCCTGACGACCGAGGTCAGCCAATTGATGAGTTTGTCACTGCACTGGTAACATCCGGTTGGTAAACAAGGTTGAGATATTACAAGGTCAAAGGTCCTGACGACTTAGGTCAGCCGATTGATGAGTTCGGAAATACACTGGTCAACCGCTGGGCAAACAAACATGAAGATGATCGATTGTTCATGGTTTCGAAATGAGAAATTAGAAGGTCACAAGGTACATACATTAACAAATATATATATATATATATAATAAAAAGTGATTAAATGTCCATGTGAAGGAAGTAAATATAGAAAAAATAAAATTAACGACCGACTAAAAAACTAGCTGCTTTCACCCTTCACAGGGCTCTTCAGGTTTATTCAAAAGAGAACAACGTCGTGACGTCACAATTACATGTCATCACACTACAATAGTAACGTGACGTCACGAAGTACACAAGATTGGTGGACAATTTGGCGTAAAATTTTATTGTGGCCTGTTGAGACTCGGTTTTAATATTTTTATTAGTTGGTCTTCTTTCGTTTCTCTTAAAATAGTGTCTGATGAAAATAGTTGATACAAAGGTAATACATTAAATTTATCTCCAGCACATTCATGAATATGTTTGTTAACATGAAGATTTCGTAAAGAATCAGTTCTAGTTTGTTGTCTATGTACAGTCATACGTGTTCTGAGTTCATTACCGGTTTGACCGATGTAAAAATCACCACATTTAGAACAAACGATTGCATAAATTACATTTTTTGATTTACAATTCATATTTACCTTCACAGTAAATTTCAAACCATTCTTGAAAATAAAAGTATTACACTCGATAATCATAGGACATGTAGCACATCTTGGTGTCTTACATTTGGATACTTTTGGTGTTANGAAATCTTCATGTTAACAAACATATTCATGAATGTGCTGGAGATAAATTTAATGTATTACCTTTGTATCAACTATTTTCATCAGACACTATTTTAAGAGAAACGAAAGAAGACCAACTAATAAAAATATTAAAACCGAGTCTCAACAGGCCACAATAAAATTTTACGCCAAATTGTCCACCAATCTTGTGTACTTCGTGACGTCACGTTACTATTGTAGTGTGATGACATGTAGTTGTGACGTCACGACGTTGTTCTCTTTTGAATAAACCTGAAGAGCCCTGTGAAGGGTGAAAGCAGCTAGTTTTTTAGTCGGTCGTTAATTTTATTTTTTCTATATATATATATATATATATTACAGCGTTTCGTAACATCACTCCACCACCCAAGATTATTATTTAACAAAGAATATTCACAGAAAGATTGGGTAACGAAACTCCCGAAACATCACATGAACATTTTAACCCCATTTCGTTGACTGACACTGTTCAAAAAGGACCACGAAGGCCGTTGCTTTAATAAAGTTCGCTGGAATACCAGAAGGCGAAGGAATCGATTGTGTTATACAGTTTACGTCAACCCAATTATAACTGACCCGATGTTGCCTAATATCCAACTCGGGAAGGGTTTATCGACCTTAACATGGCGGATGTTACGTAAACGACTAATCAGATTACCCTTGGGTATCTGTTTGATGGCTTTTAAATCTTGTGGCAATTGAATACTAGTGAAAGTATGCACATCTTGATGAAATGGCTCCCATAGGGTCATACTCGACAAATTTGAAAAAATCCGTTATAGTTTACTAAGAGGCTCCTCGGGGGTGTACTGACTAGCTTGGTGGTAGAAAGGCAGTAGCATTAAATAATCGCTATTGGCCGAGCAAGACATTTTTAAATTGAGGATCCCCAAGGGGGTCGGACTATCCTCGATGACTGATGACTAACGGTACTCGTGACTGCCTTAAAACAGGAGATAGCCAACCGTATCTCAAACTGCGTAGACAGCACCCAGGTACATTCAGGAAGGTACTCTGCCATAGGCAACAAGGTATTTGGTTTCACAACCGTGCGACAGTTAGCTTTAATTTTCGTTGGATCCCTCATAAACAAACTTATGACACATACATTACTCATATTAGTAGGATAAACAGGACTCTTTATACTACAAAAACTCCTCGAAGGGTTGGAACACTGTTGTACCTCCTCCGGTTTTAACAATGCTCGACATTCATGGCGACTGCCGAGTATTCAAGGTCAAAAAAGGCTACCATTCCCATACCCCCTCTAGTGGTAGAGTTTTTCGACGGACTTGGTAAGGGTAGGTTATGAAGGTGATAAATTGAAAATCACCCGTTTATATCTAACAGGGGTATTAAAATGACCGCTAGGATGCGGCCTGAATCGAGGACTGCCGTACACGTGAGAAGATTGTAAAACGACCAGATGTCCCGATTAGGTTCCCCGGGTAATTCTAAAGTGCGGGGTAGTTATCTTCTCACCCCAATCAGTAATGACCGTAATTCATTGTGTCTAATTACTCCGGGAGAAAGATGACCTAACGATATACCATGTTCAATTGAGATTTCAATTCTTCTAAATGAAATAGGGCCGCGTTACTTAAGTCCCGCCACTACTTCGTCCATATGGGTGTAAAATTCAAGAAACATTCCCATTTCATTAAGTCTATGGTTCACTGTTGATGAGACATTTACAATTCTCTCGTCCATCGCTGCCATAGCTGTGGACAGTTCTACAACGGCCTGTCTATTCTCGGCGATCTCTACCCGAGATATGTTTAGTATAGTGAGACTTAAATTTCCTCCACTATATGAGAAATGTCTGCCTGATTACGTGCTAACGTGTCAATATGTTTTCTAATCTCGTTAAGCTGATCTTCATTGACAACCCTGAATAAGAAGGTCATTGACTTCCCTATAATGTCGAATAGCCCTCGCTTAACACGGGGTGGCGCTTGCTCGCCTGTGCTAGACAGGGATTTATTTTCTACAAACAGAGATGATATCTTGTTTCGCACCAGATGTAGGGTGTGGACCATATTCTGCAAGCCAGAAACGGCTGCGAAGTATGATTCTTTTCCCGGTTTTTCATAGCGCTTGGCTATGCTCTTTGTTAATCTAACTGTGATATGTAGGTTGCTAGTTAATTTCGTAACAAGGTCGGCATATTGTTTTAGATCCATAACAAAAGTCACCAACTATCTAGATATCTAGACCTAGTGGTTGTGATGTCATTATTATTATTAAAGGCGACATTGTCTTGTACAAAGATAGCCAATAAGTAAGGGCCACACTAAATACATCTGGTAGACGAACTCCTGCAAGACATAAATAGAATAATCCCCA